GGCGCGCGGCGCCGCGGGGGCGGGCAAGGCGGGGGTGTCTGCGGGAGGCGTGCAGTCGGACTACGGGCAGCTGAGCCCGCGGTCGATGCTGACTGATCTATGACCCGTTTGACATGTTTTACGGGTCAAAAGTGCCACCCAGTGTCACTGGTGGCGGCGGCGATGGGCGGCTTTCAGGAACTGCTCCCTCAAGGAATTTCCACAAACAGATCAGCAGGTGCTTGGGAAGTTCGGGAGGTGTGATGTTCAACAAAACCACTGCATCGGCCGCAGGCCTGCAGCGTGGTCCTTGAAGTGGCGCCCCCGCGCGCTGCTGCACACATAGCGGCGCTGCCTGCGGTGCGGCTCTTGGTGGCATCACCCTAATGCTGGGATGTGCGCCTGTTTCCTTTACGTTCAAGCCGTCACTCCTCAGGGGGATCATTTGGAGGTTGTGTCTTCTGCCATGCTGCGTGTGTGATGTTTCGTTGTGAGCCCACCGCATTCGGCCCCAACCACTTGTACTTGTGTTGGCTGCCATGATACACACCCTGCGCTCAAGAGATGCCCCGGGCGCTCAGGCGTAATGCGCCCAGGCGGTCTGGGCGCAGCGTGCTGCCACACAAGTCTGCTGCAGAGCGTCCCTGATGTTCTGGCGCGGTTGCTTCAAGGCATCGGGCACCCTTCACTGCATCCGGTGCAACAGGTTCTGTCGGTTTCGCTCGTATTGGAATTCTCCGGCCGTTCTTACACCGCATGGACAGCCGATCGAAGTGCTTCAGTGGGTCGGTCGGGGTTATGTTCCCCGCGTGACTGAGTCGCGTGGATGATATGGGCATCGCTCAGGGCGTCAGTGGTGGCGTGTGCCAGTGCCTCAATCGTCTTGGAGCCGCCTCCTAGAGTTTGTACTCAGGCAGCCGTCAGCCTCGCAACGAATGTAGGCCATCGGAAACCCCCCTCCCCTGGTTCTTCTGGCGGACAGTAACACATGAACAGGAAATGCCAAGGGAGGCCACGCATACAAAGACGCCCGAGGAGCACCGTGCCAAGCAGCTGGTGAGCACGCGCACGGCCCAGGACCGCTGCCCCCTTGGCAGGCATCATCATTTGGCGTTACCCGCCGGTCAGACTACCGTAGTGACACGATCTTGAAGCACGCGTGCTTGATTGAAGCAATGCGTTTCAAAATCAGCCTCTCCATCATTGACATCATTACATGCGCATCTGACATATACATCAGATCAGAATTTTACGATAGCCGAGGATCGCATGGCGCCTGCATGCATGCATTACACGCCGCTGAAGGCAGCTCAACGACCTTTCCCGTACAATGTATGCTCCGGCAGCCCCGCCAGGCGCACTCCCGTGCATGCATCGGCGGGGGCGGGAACAGCAGCGGGCGGGGCGCCGGTTGTCGGGCGCGTTCTGCAGCAGCACAGGGAGCTCATGCACGCGGGCTTCAGCTATGACCAGGCGGCACTCATACTTCAGATCACGGAGCGGCGCGCAGACAGCGATTCGGTGCCGCCCCCGCCACGCGAAGCAGGTGCAAAGGCGCAGCCTAGTCAGCGAG